AACAAACAAACAAACAAACAGACAAAGCGAATTATATATATATGGGGTGATGGGGTGATACCATACGGATCAGTGCTGCAATACGAAAACCGATTTGTTTCAGGAAGGCAAGTCTTGCCCTTATGGAGTCGGATAACTCGAAACAAAACATGCACATCGTTAATTGTACTCTACATGAGAGTAGCGCAAGATTATCAAGGTGAATTCCATTTCTAAATGGTTCAAAAGTTAGTTGGTGTCTTAAATGCAATGAACGCTCGCTGAAAACAAACCATTTTCTTTAATGGGAAATGTTCAGAGCCACCGGACTTTTAGAATTTTTTTGGGGTGTGAATTAAAGACACATGGTATGATCATACATAGTTTGGGTGTGTGTGACTATCAGGGGTATGTGACAAGAGGATCGTAATTTGCCGCGCTGCTGGGCGTCGCGTGCGACGTCTCGCCCGCAAAGGACGATGGTTTCAGGCAGTAGATGGCGACAACATGCAATTAAGGACCGAAAACAGTAATGAGTGTCTACGATGGCGGGGTCTACATGAAGTCCGGTGCTCCATTCGACAGGTTAAAACGAGTTATGAAAACGCCGCGCCCATCGCCGCGCGTGGCGGTGCGGCGAATTACGATCCTCTTTACCGTCTCCCGACTATCAGCCCCCAGCTGTCGAAGCGTAGCGGTTTCCCCGTCCTAACATGCGCAGGAATGGAGATACAGGACCGTGAAACACGCTAATTCCTCCATGCTCCGCCCAATGCCTTTTGCGGCGCAGACTCCCGTTCATGCTAACAGCCGTCGTGTGCGCGCGTGTCGCGTGCGGCACTCTTGGCACTTTGCCAAGTCCTGTAATTGCGCTTTGGAATACAAGTAAAACGCGATTTCCTGATGCGGATAACATTTCGCACGCATAATATTTCACAACGCAGTTTCGTGACGAGAATAACATCTGAGGTGTTGCTCATGCTTCAAAGTCCGAATAGAAGGTGATGAAGATGACAAAGGCTAGAAATGAAGAACAACGAATGTAGATGTAAAAAATAAAAATGAAAAAAATAGGGAAATGCAAATTAATTAAAATATATCAATCAAAATAATTGAATGTAAATTTCTGCGATCCGGCGCAAATCCGGCCCAAAGCCATAGAAATACTTTAAACTAACGAGTGGGACGCTTAGGCCGTTTTTATTTTCATGTTTCGTGGAAATGCGCGGCCTCCGAGGGATATTGCAGAAGCAGCACAGTTGCTCTTGTTCTGGCCCTCGTCATCATCTTCGGTTCTTATTTTGCAGCACCTCAAATGTTATCCGCATCAGGAAATTGCGTTTTACTTGTATTTCAAAGCGCAATTACAGGACTTGGCAAAGTGCCAAGAGAGCCGCACGCGACACGCGCGCTTACGACGGATGTTAGCATGAACGGGAATCTGCGCCGCAAAAAGGTATTAGGTTGTCCGGAAAGTTCTCAGCGTTTTGGTGTTTCACTTTAAACGATCATAACTTTCTTAATACTCATCGGAATAAGCACCGTTCGAATCAGCACACTTTTGCCAATGTGACACCAGTCGATAAATCCCATCAAAGAAAAAACTGGGTGGTCGAGAATCCACGAAATCCACGAAGGCTTTTTTTGCCTGGTCCTGATTGATGAAGTATTTTCCAGCAAGGAAGTTCTGAAAATGTTTGAAAAGGTGATAGTCGGTTGGTGAAAGGTCTGGAGAATATGGCGGGTGAGGTAGAACTTCAACCCAATTCGTTCAATTTATGGATAGTGATTTGTGAAACGTGTGGGCGGGCGTTGTCATGCAAAAGAATCGGACCCTTTCTGTTGACAAGTGCTGGCTGCAGCTGACGCAATTTTCGGTACATTTCGTCGATTTCTTCACAGTAGGACTCTGCTGTGATGGTTTGGCCTGGTGACAAAAAGTTATAGTGGATCACACCGACCACCACACTGTGACCATAATCTTTTTTTCGTGAGGATTCGGCTTTGGAAATTGCCTCGGTGGTTCGTCGGCATCCAACCACTGTCCGGAACGTCTCCTGTTATCATACATGATCCACATAGGTGACAATTCGGTCCAAAAACGGGTCGTTTCTGTTGCGCAAAAGCAGTGAAGAAGAAACCTCGAGACGTGCCAATTTCTGCCGGTCACTCAAATTGTGGGGCACCCACTTGTCGAGTTTTTTCACCTTCCCAATGCGTTTCAGACCATCCGCAACAGTGGATTTGCCAAC